CCTTGGCAGATGAATCTTGCCAAATTGCTCAGGCCCGAGACATCATCGCCGGAAGTATCCTCTGGCAAACGACTCTTGCACACGGTCAAGCCTCAGCTCAAGAATTAACACCAGGGCACGTAGACTGGATTTATACTCAAATCTAGTGTCTGGACCGTCGAGTCTCAGTTTGGCAACCTAAAAAGGCTCGGGATGATTTTTTAGTGCGGAAGATAGAGCTGAGTGCGCGAAATGTTTATTTTCGACCGTTGTGGCTGATAGGCTTGAGTCTGTGACTCGGGGCTAGGACTGAGTCTCGACCACGCGCTTTAGCGTTGTGAGCAACCTCGGACGATTATCGAACTGACTTGGACCAGTAAGGAAGTTGAAGTCCGTGGTCTAGCCCTGTGTCATAGCTAGTTGGAGAGTTCTCCGCGATGATGAGATTCGCGGACGGCCAAGTTTTTGGGTCCAGCTGTTCAGCCTCATCTCCTTGGCGGCACCGCCTCGCGAACAGGGCCATAATCTCAGCCCCAAATTACCTCTTCCGTGCAAACCTACCTTGATGCTGCAGCCAAGCGTAGTACTACGGCAAAATCGCGTAAATTGAACCCCAAAAATAGGCCACCCATGGACAAGACTTTGTAGGAGTATTCCAAGGTTTGTTGTTGCAACCCGACGCAGTGCGCTAGAATGCGCAGAATGTGATAGAAAGCCCAATTGGGGATAAATAAACAAATGCACAGCCTTCCCATTTCGTGAGTACTGCTGATATACATGGAGGAGGTCATATTTCCAGTAGACAGTTAATTCTTCCGGACGTTGGTCCGGTGGAAAGAGTCTCTCTTGCTAGGGTCGTTATACAGACGATTCGAAGGTACAGTCGGTTTCTGGCGCCTCCTGAATGTTTGGAACATCTCCGGGTGCAGCGCCGCGTTCATTGTTGAGGTCGATGAGTTGTATGGCTTCAACATACCCCTTGCAGTGACGGCATGTGGGGGGTGTGTTAGCAGGAAATTTGATCAAATCTGTAAGTCCCAGCTTCAGCAAAGCTGTGACCCGCGGAGCGCCACATTGTGCCTTAGCATGTCGCCAGCAGCGGAATAACGACAAACCGTTCGCCTTCGAGGAAGCAAGTTTGATATCAGACGAAGATGGATGAGTTGCCAAGCACGGGTGACGAAATAATGAAGTAAGTTCGATGGTGGGACAATTGGGGAAGTCAAAGGTCACCAGCGAATCGAATCGCGTATCGGTGGTCACTGAGAACGCCCTTCTGCTTACATGCCGTGTTTGGAGGATGTGGCCAATCTTGCCGGAGACCCGCCAACAGCACACACACATACGAGCAATGACGCTCATCACGTGCTACGCGACTTAGTCGTGCCTTCCCACGCGAAACGTCAGCGGGGTATAGCGGGGCGCGTTCGACCCGCATGTGCCAAAGTTGCCGTTAGTATGACGCTATCAGCATGGGAAAAAGGCTGAAATCCCATCTTTCTGGCCCACCTTTATGCGCGGATCTACCAATCGTGGCGGCCCGTGGCTGCTCGTCAACGGCTCTCACCCTGTTCTTATCCACATGTGAAGGTTGCGTCTCACCCTGTCTGGTGCTGTTGGGTGGCCACAACGTCGCAGCTGCCTTGTATATCAGTTGTACGGCATGACGCGTAGGCACGTCATTTGTAAAAGGTAAGTGCAGCCAGTGTATATATAAGAGTTCAAAAAGTGCTTTCTTCGATCTCTCATCACATCTGCTCATCACTCAACTCTACTACAATCAATTACTCTTCCAACCAAACCACCACAAACAACCAACCAACCATCAACATGTCTGACTCCATGCGCAAGGGACTCGGCGAGCAGGCTCAGGAGAAGAGTAAGCACTGCTTCGTCCAACTTCCTTCTCTTTCCAAGCACTAACCTCCCTCAGTCACTCCCGACTCCCAGAAGTCCACCGGCCAGAAGGCCAGCGAGGGTGCCTCCGGTCTCGGTGACAAGGTCGCCTCCGCCGTCCAGCCTGAGGGCCAGAAGTCCACCACCCAGAAGCTCGGCGACAGCACCCGCTCCGGCGGTGACAGCGCGCAGAAGGAGGGTGGAAGCCTTCTCGGCTCCGCACAGGAGGGTCTCTCCAACGCCGGCCAGACCATCTCCGACACCTTCAACAGCGCCACCGGCAACAATAAATAGACGATTTCTTGAGCCCTCTTCGACCCTAAGAATGGACATCTTTCTCTGCTAGGTGCAGCCTTCAAGGCAGACACCCTTTTGACTCGCCAGTCACATATACCCTATTAGCTCACGAATGAATGAGATTCAACATGAACATGCCTCCTCTTGCTGCCAGTGTATTCATATGATGACCTTACCATGCATTGTGACCTCCTCTTATCTTGGAGACCTTTTGCCACATATGCTCGAGTTACCTCGTTCCCGCAATTACGGATGCAAAGCCTATAATCATCTTACATTCCATGGTTCGGTCTGATTTCACTGCGCCGGAACGTCGAAGGTTGCTCGTGAAGGCCAGGCTATGATTCAGGATCATAACAACTATACTCATATATCTTCATCAGCCACCTCTTCCATCTCGACATGCCGCAACTTATTCTCTGCGACGGCAGCTTCTGACTGTATGCCCTGCATCCCACCACTCGCTTCCGCAGCCATCATCTCGTATTCTGCCTCTTGCACCGCCGCCTCTGCAGCTTGCTCAGCCTCGACCATTGTCGACGTGCCATGGTTCCTCAAAAACGCCTCCATCTCCTCATCCGGCTCCACAGCAGGCTTCTTCGAGTCCATGTATCCCTCCTCCTTGAGCTTATCAAACTCCTCAGGCTCCAGCAATCTCCCCTCGCCCTTGGCTAACTTCATCTTGTTCGCGACACGCAGTCGGCATGAACTTTGTGGCTTCCTTCAAGAAATTGCGAACCTGAGGTGCGGCTTCGTACACAATTTGCGCCTTCTTGGGCTCAGGCTGGGCCGCTTCGTCTTCGTTTTGTGCTTGGCGGTTGCGTTGACGCGGTATGGGCGGCGGTGTATCGCGCGGCATGGGGATGTCTCGTACATCGGCGTCTGTATCGCTGCTGTCGTCTTCTTTCCTCTGTCCGTCTCGCGTCCGCTTGCCCAGCACGCCTCCTCGCCCGCCTCTATGGCCGCCTCTCCCGCCTCTGTCTCCGCCATCGTCGTGTCTTCGTTCCGGCTTGAATTGTGGTGCTTTGTCGCCGAGTGCCTCTCGCGCCTTGTTGACTGCTGCGAGATCCTTTTCCAACTCTGTGAGTCGTTGTCGCTCGTGTGGGCGTAAGCCGCCGGCTTGATCCGCTTCTTTGAGATTATCGATGTCGCGCTGTATGCGGTTGGGGTTGCGCCGTGCGAGTTTCTCGTTGCGTTGTGCTTGGAGATTGGCTTTTTGCTTTTTGATTTGCTTCTGCTTCTCTTGCTTCTTGTGGTCCTGGACAGGGTTGTAGTTCTTTTCTTTCGGCATGATTGCGACCGAGAATTAGGTATAAGCCGATTGGGCGGAATGGTAGGTTGGAGTGTTGCGACAGTGAAGTTGGAGATGCGCGGACGGCTCGAAATTCGGACGATGACGTCCGTGCAGAAGCTCCAAAGACGCGCTAGCACCCAGGTACTTTCACGCAACACGCGCCGCATGATCTTGTAGTCCAGTCAAGGTAACACTCACAGAACGCCGGTCCCAAGACAATGCAATTATAGGCCGACAATTTCTGCCGCCATTGTACGCCATGTTTGTACCAAGAGCTCTGAGACTCAAGGGCGTTCGCGAGACTAAGCCAAAGCCTTCGAAACCTCCACCAGAGGTCACCCAACGCAGGCAGGATGAAGCACTCGTCGATGCTATGCAAGGGATAAGTACAAACTCACCTACACCACAAGAAGAGCAAATTGAACCAAAGGCAACCCCTCGTGGCGGGCCTAAATTTACAGTCAAGGCAGTCACTCCAGAGTACTTGTCGCAACTCGTGGTTGGTATGGAACTGATCTTTTCTGATTATGCACATCAAGAAGAGGTACGGGCGGATTGGCTGCAACAGCGGTACAGGACAGTAGATGAAGGAGAGTACTGTAAGACCAAACATGGGAAAATATGTTTCCAAACGCTAACAGTAAAACGAAGTCATCCATCTCACGGGTATTCTCGAGCATCCGAATATCTCAAGCCTCAAGCCTCAAGCGACGCACGGATTACTCCAACAGGCACTCCGGGAACACCCATCCAAGATCCTCGAGCTCTCGAGCAATGGCTACCATATCCGCCGCATCCCGTCTTCTTATCCCCCCAAATTTCTTCCCCACAACTCATTCGAGCAGGTCAACGATGACGGCCTGTCCTTCTGGGACCAGCGAACAATATACGTGGAGCCGCACCTACGCGACCTCTGTAAGACTCCAGCTAGAGTCGCGCACTGGCTTCGAGAGCATGGCCAGCTAAAGCAGAAGTGGCTGCCAATACAAGCAGTTTACACACTTCACAATAGTTGTGCATTCATCGTCTTGAGCGGTAACATTACACATGCAGACGTGTGGTCCAAGTGGAGAGCAGCAGAGAAGCCAGATAACTGGAAAATATTGACAAAGGTTGAGCATTCGAAGCGTACGGCAGAGTACGTCGCACTACTCGAGAAGCAAAATCCGAGGAGCAAGGGCAAACATCAGCTGGATGATCCTGTTCTTCCGGCTATTGCTAAGCCAGCAGTTCTTGCGCTGAACGTGGAGGTCGTCCCAGCTTATTCAGAAAATATTGAGCGACCAAAGAACAAGCGCAAGCGTAACAGAAAGAAGGGCGACAAGACCGATGCCCAAGTCGGAGAGGTGGAGACAAACAACACGACTGTTGCAGCCGATGAAGCACAAAACGACGAGCCACGCCCCAAACGCCGGGCTTGAAAGACCATGATAGTCTTGCCATGAAATCGACCTCTACGTAAACACTGAATGAAAATTGCGAAGCAGAAAACCTACGGATGTCAAAGCCGAGTTTCTCAGCCTCATCCATTAGCGTCGAGACGGCGTGCCTAAAGTTGCGCTTTGTTGATCTCCCCAGTTTACCCCGCTTAGTCGCTAGCACTAACTTTGTAGAAGTTACCGAGAGCCACCGAAGAGGATCATTTCCAGGCACATTTCCCAGCATAAGTCATGTGAGCCGAGGGATGGCGCTCTAAGGCGAAGTACCGCGGCGTCGGCATCTTAAAATCATCGCATCTTAGCCAGCCTTCATAATGTCACTATATTTCACAGTCATTGACAACACTAGTCCGAGACGATCATCTTGGAGTATAGCTACAGCTACCTGTGACATTGGATCGCTGAAATGACTACCATAGTCGAGAAGACTTCTGACGGCGTCATCTATCGCGCAGCAAAGAAGTATCCCATTCCTGATGTTGATCTCCTGACCCTACTTTTTGGTGAGCAACTCCTACACCAACTATAAAACCCAGTGATCAGGGTGCGGATCTGATATAGGGGATACAACCATGCGTTCGAGTGACATGTTGACCATCTGCAGACTCAGAGCACTGCCTCGCAAAACCCGACACGCCAGTCCACATCTCAGCTGCAGATCCAAGTCTCATCCTGACCACATCGCGAGCACGTAGTCTGACCCAAGCAACATCAGCATCACTTCGCAAGCATTTTGGCATCGGCGCCAATGGCAAAGGCAAAGACATTTGCTCCGTGATATCTACAGGCCACTACCTTCTCCCGGTCCTCAGCTACGGCATCATCGGCTCCGGCGGCGTTTTCTCCGCAGCATCAGCAGCCAGCACACCCAGCGAACTAAGTAAACAGCTTCAAGGCGCGCAGTCGAAGATCCTGGTCACTGTCGAAGCTACAAAAGAGACTGCAGTCAAGGCAGCAGAAGAGGCGGGATGGGGAGCCAATGGTGGTGGACGTGTGTTACTGATGAGCGAAGACAAAGACTGGGAGCTGAAGATTATTGAAAAGGACGGAAAGCTGGGCAGTAGTTTGATTGTCGAGAATGACCAGTTGCCGTGGCAGAAGATTACGGACCCTTGGGAGTTGGAGAATAGTCTTGTAATCCTGATTTATAGCTCGGGGACGACTGGGCTACCAAAGGGTAAGTGTACACGCGATGTGTTGAAGTGGGGGAGGTGGTTGTGCTAACAGGATGCAGGCGTCAAGCTGTCTCATCGGAATCTCGTGGCTGAGGCAGTGATTCCAGGGGATATGTTCAAGAATTTGGATCGCAGACACGCGACCAGACTTCCAATACAGAACCTTGGCTCATCTTCCAGTCGCTCACATCGGCCGGAATCCAAGGGTATCTGATCAACCCATTTTACATGGGAGGACCCGTCTACTGGATGCCACGCTTCGACTTCGCCCAATTCCTCGCTTACAACGCCAAATATAAAATCACCTTCTTCTTCACCGTCCCACCCATCTACCTCCTCATCGCCAAATCCCCGTGCCGTAACCGACCAATTCAAAACTCTCGAAATCGCCATCTCCGGTGCCGCCCCGCTCGGAAAAGACCTCCAGCACGCCGCGAGCCAAAAACTCGGCGGACCCGACTGCTTCATCAGTCAGACCTGGGGTCTTTCCGAAACAACCGGCTCAGCGACAATCATGCCCATGGGCATGTCCGACGACACAGGCTCCGTATCCCCGCTCATCCCCAACATGCTCGCGCGCATCGTCGACGACAACGGGTCGGACGTCGAGCCCGGCCAGCCCGGCGAAGTGCTCGTCAAAGGCCCCGTCGTGTGCAAAGGGTACTACCAGAACCCCGCCGCGAACAAAGAAGCGTTTACGAACGACTGGTTCCACACCGGTGACATCGCCGAATTCCGCAATGGACTCTTCTACATCGTCGACCGTAAGAAGGAACTCATAAAATACAAGGGCCTGCAGGTCGCGCCGGCCGAACTCGAGGCTTTGCTGCTCAACCACCCAGACATTTTGGATGCCGCGGTCATTGGCGTGGATGTGGATGATGGCACCAATGAAGTGCCCAGGGCGTATGTGGTGGCTGATCAGGGCAAGATTAGCGCAGAGGAGATTAGGGAGTTTGTGAAGCGGAATGTGGCGGGGCATAAGCAGTTGAGGGGGGGGCGTGGTGTTTTTGGATGAGATTCCGAAGAGTTCCGAGTGGGAAGATTTTGAGGAAGGATTTGAGGGTGCTGGCGAAGAGGGAGAAGGGGGCGAAGTTGTAGGGGAGGGGTGCTTGGATGGGAAATGTAGAGAGACATAAGGTTGATGTTTCCGACTTTTTTTCGAGAAACCGAGAACCGAGTTGGGAAGATAGCCGGGTCGTTTGAGAATACATCTACAGTGATTGTCTCTAGACTATCAGAAGAGCAATTGCACACCCAGGAATATCTCCCCTATCGTGCCAGAACCGAGTCTACTCCGGGTCGTTGAGACGTTCGCTCGGTTGAGATAGACACTTTCACCGAACCAACCACACCCCACCCCACCGTCGACGTGGTTCGCATGCACCAACATGGATGTCCATGCAGTAGCTCACTCCCAAGGGAGTGGAAAGCAACCACGAACCCGTTCGCATGCGTGCCCACACCGACAGATGCTCATATTCCCATTAAAGCCATCACCGTCAAAGAGCGGTCGGCGTGCCCGCCATGAAGCGTTTCACATGGGCTCAGAGGGCGGATAGATAGGTCGCGCCCACCCCCGCTTTCATTATGAGTCGTCACCTGCAGCGAGCCGGGCCAATAGGACCACCGCTCCTCCAACGATGCGGGTCTTGGAGTATCGAATACTCGAAGATTGTGGTTTCTGGTGATGTGCTGGCGCGGGATGGTGATGAAATGCACGCTCGGATGGGCCGACGAGTGTCTGAAATGTCGCGATCACCGCAGAGCCGCATTCGGTCTGTCGAGTACTTGTACTTGTTCCCGCACGGTTCTGCTCGGGAGGATACGAGATAGCAGCAGCCAACGAGTTTGGCATCGACGGCCCCAGACTCGACAAGATCAGACGATCGTGCACGCGGAAACGGCCCGCCCATCTCTCTCGGCCGCTAAGCCCTATCCTTGATCTTCACGATACCCCAGAGATATGACGCGCCCTGAGCAACCACACACTTGTGAGTTCTGATTCGCTTGGCCCTGCGAAAGCATCCTACATTGTCCTTTCACAAGGCTGTGGCCATCAGGGCCTAATTGGCTTGCTCCCCCTCTGATCCATGAGGCTGACGCATCCGCCTGCGCCACAGACGACCCCACCAGCTCACGCAGCATGTCGCTCGCACGGCTAGAAAGCGCCAGTGCCAGCATACCCGTGAACCCGCAAACCGCATCGTGGGTGCGAGATCTCGGAGCCGAGTCGATCCACGCGCGCCTGGCCCGGGCCGGCGTCCACTTTGAAGAGTCGCTGGAAGACAGCAACACCCCCTCGAGTCCGCTGTGGGCAGACTACTCGCGCTCGCTGCGCAGTGGCTCGTCCATGGCGCCCGGAGCCATGATTCACCAGTCTGCGGCGTCTGCGCGCCCGCCGTCGCTGGTCTCGTACCTTACTGAAGCGACGCCGACTGAGACGTCGATTAGCACGGGGCTGGCGAACCATTTGTCTGGCGCCGTGCTGCTGGAGGAGAACAATGGCGTGTTGGAACTGCCGAGGACACAGGTACCCGTACCCGTCTACGAATGTGCGTTTTGGTTCCTGAACTGCGGATACATATCGCAGAATCATGAGGAGTGGATGACGCATTGCGAGAGCCATTTCCGCGGCGAGGAGCCACCGCGGTCGGTCCAGTGTCCGCTGTGCGAGTGGAGGATATCATCGTCGAATGATGGTCGGATGAGTTGGCATGCGAGGATGCAACACGTAGCTACCGAGCACACGATGCTCGGGCAGACGTTGAGGACGTCGAGACCGGACTTTGATCTATATCGCTATCTATGGAAGATGCGACTTATCGACGACCAGGATTATAAAGAGCTCCAGGGTGGGAACCATAACTTGATAAGACGGCCTGGAAACTTTACCGAGTCGGGTGGGCGTGAAAGACGCAGGGAAGGGGCCGAGAGAAGACACAGGCGACAGCATGTCACTGCGACTCGACCGTCTGGGCCACAGCCTGTATGAGCTGTACGACCCTACCATTCGGCGGCCCACTGCCTTGTGCCTCGAGAGGCATATTCCCTGCTTTTTTCTCCTCACTTGTCTTCCCTACGTCGGCCGAGCAGACTTTCTCGCCCCTTATTCCCTGTTTTCCGTTGACATCTCTTCACTCTTGTTCTCTTCTGTTTCCGTCCAAAAATTTGTCACTTGAAGGACACAGCGGCATTCCCGGCGTTCTGCACCAAATTGAAGCGTTCCCGTCAAAGGCGCATATGGATCTCGTTATGAAAATGTCTTTGGGGTGTACGGTTTCTTTGAAAAGCGTGGATACATGGTATAGTAGATACGACGTATACAAGAATGCATAAACAGCAACCAGGTCTGGTCCCTTTCATCATCTCATGTAAAGCAGCAGCCATCGCACTCTTATATTCCAGCCCCCAATTTCCGCTTACCGTGTTCAATCGCACAAGAGCCTTCGCTTCGTGACAATTCTATTCGCTAGTGCATGGAGAAGGCAAGAAATGCCTCATCGGTGCCGTGTTCCACCTTTGTGAACGCGTCTGCCTTGAGCCTCGCGCTAGTGGGGTTACCGCATTAGGACGAGTTAGGCAGGCGTTCGCGGTGGAGGCGGGAGGGTTTGGGATGACTTGCATACACGATGGGAGCGAGGATATAGGGCCTGTGTGGTTTGATGGCTTTGCTTGTGGAGTTGGTGGGTAGATTTGGTGGAACAGGTGAAGGCATACAGGTCAACTCCCATGAACATCCATCAACACAGTAGACAACTAAGCCAGCACTCTTTCCATCAAAAACGTACCTGCAAATCATGTATTAACAAAGAAGAAAACAATTGTACACCCGCGTTCCTTCCCTCTTTCTTCACCGTGCAAAGTACAAATTGTATCCCTGCCATGCACCTTCCCCAACACACGTGCAAACACATTCCTCACCCCAAGTTTTTCAAAGTGAACTTCAAACCCGTCTCTGAACTTCCCACGACCTCAAAACAATCACACACCCATCCCATCAAGCCACAAACATCAAGCACGTCACCACCCTCTCCCCCGACCCTCCCCCGAAATACCCCCGCCACATCGCCTTCAAACCGATCTATGACTCATCTCCTCCTGTCCACCCCACCAAACGCCCCACCAAGCCTCTTCTTTGTTGCAGTCAAACACTCTTACCCGCACCTCCTCTCCGCAGCACCCTTCTCTTTGTCATTTTACCTTTATATTTCCCGTAAATTTATCCTTGCCCATCATCAGCACGCCCGGCTGGCACAGTAAGTTCCACCGACAATTTCTAGTTGGATCTAAGGGCGGTCTCGCTGACATTGAGATAGATTGGTTAGCGCGTGAGACTTTTAATCTCAAGGCTCAGGGTTCGAGTCCCTGGTCGGGCGATATTCTTTTTGGACTTTTTTTTTTTTCATGAGCAGCATTAAGGTTAAGGTTGTTTGTTGAGTTGGCTGGGCAAAAGGATGTTTGTACGTTTTTTTTGCTAAGTAGATTGAATGTTCACGATGAGACTTGCGTGACATGCATGCGGCATGTACAGTGTGGACATGAGTATCTTTTCTTCATTTCTTATATTTGTGGTTAAATATCGACTTTGATAGTGTAATGATGCCTGCATTCGCATCTCTCACTCTCCTGCTCTCCACAGCATCATCACGCAGGACTCGCCACCTTGCCAGCCACCAGGGCAATCAGCGCCGCACCCACACCCGACCCATCCTTTGCGATTCCAATCCTAATCCTCTTCTCGCCCTGCTCGCCAATTTCCGGAATACCACGCAGCGCATCGCGGATGTGCTCTTCAAAGTTGGGGTAAAACTCGACAAGCGATCCGTCAACACCGACGTCAATCACATCTTCGTCTGCAACCTCGACTTCGCCACGGGCCGGCGCGATGCCTGACTTTTGCTCTGTGGTGGCAGCGCCAGCAGTCTTGCTGAGGCGGCCAGTGTTGATGACGATGGCGCCGATGGCAACAGCAGAGAGACGCGCTGCACGGCGGCCAATGGCGACGGCAATTTCGCGCACTGCCTCGGCGTCCTCTGCGCTCACGGCGGAGATTTCGTACTCCTTGTCGAGGGTCTGGCGAAGCATGCGGTAACCAGGGCTGGTGTCGCCGGCGCACACGCTCAGGAAGCTGGTGTCGATGCCCCATTGCTTCCATATCGAGCTGCCGTCGTGGATCTGTGTGGTGCTGTGGACATCGTTGGATGCTGAGTTGTCGTCGGCAAACAGAGGGACTGCTGGGTCCTTGATCAGTTTGAGAAGAGCCAGTCGCAGTAACTCGCCCAAGAACATTCCCGAGACGCGCTTCTCGAACATTTGAATGCCGGGGTTGACAGACTTCTTGTCCAATTCGACGTCGTATGGCGTGTTTGGTAGCGTGCGCAGAGAGTTGTCGAACGAGCCCCATTCGGTGTTGACAATCATCTCGCCCGTTGACTTATCGTAGTCTCCTGCATTCTTGTCCTTTGTGAGCTTGGTAACCCTGTCCAGCTTCTCCACGTAGGCACCGTTGGTTCCGGTACCGAAGATCGCACCGAGCAGTGTTCCAGTCTTGCCGGGCGAGGTGTAAGAGCGCGCCATGAGAGTTCCTACAGTGTCATTCACCAGAGCAGCGACCTTAACTGGAAGGTGTAGCTCGTCAATCTCCGTCTGGAGCAAAGCGCAGACGTCCTTGCCGACCGCGTCCTGGATGTCGAAGCCCTTGGTCCAGCGCATTAACATGCCCTTGTTTATGCCAATCTGGTTGACGGGGAACGAGAAGGTGAATCCCAAGTTGAAGATCTCCTCTTCCGCAATCTCGCCTCCTCCGAGCTCCCGGCGCTTCAGAGTTCCAACATAGTGCTCCTCGTGATGTGCCTTGAGGAACAATTCGATCTGCTTCGCGAGGAAGGAGAACAGCTCTTTCGAAGTCTTCGCGACCATGAGCTCGCGGGGAATTGCGACCTTGCTTTGCGTGAGGGAGAAGGTAGTGTTGCCGTGTAGCTGAATGGAGCAGACGCGGAAGTTGGTGCCGCCGAGGTCGACAGCCATGTAGAGGCCCTGAACTCCATGTCAGCAGATATATCTCACATCTCTCGTGTGCAATGGTACCTTTTCTGTGCCATTGGGAACCGCTGTGACGTATGTCGGGATCTGGCTCAGCTCGGTGCCTTCCGACTGAAGACCCTCATCTGCACGCCGTCAGCATCCGGGATGCCCACCATGTTCGCTAATACCTACCCATCTCCCTGATGAACTCCTTGACAGCCTTGTTGACGGCATCTTGCTTAAAGTCAAACTCGGCAGCAACCTGCTTGGCCTGGTCGGCGAGTGCCATGCTGCGTTCGGGTCGCGTGTTGAAGGTGCCCTTGAATTCGACGTGCTGCTTGGGTTTCGGACAAATCTGCTGCTCCTGAAAGACGAGTGGGTTCCGGAGGGTGACGCTTGGTGAAGAGGTGCGCCAATGCTGGGTCCTGTCGAAGATTTCGTGGAGCGTGTCAGGGAAGTGGGGTGCGAGGAGAGGAGCTAAAAGCACGAATCCAAGGACTACGACTACAGTGTGGGTCCCGAGAGACAACCAGGCAGTATCACGCCAGCGCGTGCTCCAAGAGAGTGAGGGGTTCTTGGGCGCAACGGTGGCTTTAGTTGGGCGTGAAGAGCTGCTCGTTGTGTCCATCTGCCCCGCGTTTACTTGGGGCACGACCGAATGACGGAGGAGGGGGGTCAGCTCAAGCTACAGGGTGCATCGACAGGACGAACAACAGCATGCATGCCAACGCGTTGAGGGCGGGCCGAGTATGAATGCAATTGGAACGTCTGTCGTCCTTTTTTGAGGAGGTGCTCGCATCGCACTGCGCTAGTCACATGCGAACGAGGGGCTGCTCAACCCCAGGCAATGGTCCGACGACATCGTGAAGCCGCCATCACCCCATGCGCAATCTAGCCATGCTTCTCCATTACGTCGGCGGCTGAGACGGCTGGGACGGCTGAGCTTTCCCCACAATTAGATCGTGGTCCATGTCGCGACTCAGGAATTGATTCCGAGCAGAACTAGACGCGCTAGGCGACCGTAATACGGCGTCTTTTTCATGGATTTTCACCGTACACTTTTGTGAATGTTTGTTTGCATAAGCTGTAGTTCTAGGCGGCGGTAGCGCATGTAAGCACGTAAACTCGCACAGGCATTATGGCAGTATACAGCCTCGTGTAAGATTTGGATCGACCATTACTCCAGATTGAAACCCTATGCCATGGGTCTTTGATCATGTCAGCACACGGAAGCGGACAGCGTCGCAGAACATGGTCGTGCGTACATGTGCAACGCTGGAGTGTTGGTACCTGAGTAAGTAGTGATGGGATGGAATCCTGACAGTGATAATGCAGTAAGGAACGTCTTGCTTTTGTTGCCGGTCCAACTATGTATGCATCTAAGTGTCGACTGCGCTCTGTTTCTTCTCTCCTCCACGACTCTCGACTTTCAAGTTCCGTCCTAACAGTGTCGCTTGAGGAATAGATAGTAGTACACTCTGTCAGTAGATACAGCACCATGAAATGAGATGCCGTCTCTGGCTGAGATAGATGCCCAAAACCAAGAACATGTGCTTGTATCAGAAGAACTCCTATTGGAACATGCCAAACCCCACTGTGCAGCCCATGCAAAAGAAACCATGATTAGCGGGTGCCAGTCGAAAAGGAGTGCCACCGGGTGAACGGCATTTACAATATGTACTACGAAAGACAAAAGAAAACCTGAAGCAACAGCTCTATAACAGAGCTGGACTGTATACGTGCAAATGTCCCACCGGACCCATATTCTAATATTCGTCATTAAGTGTCAGCCCCTGGCCGTCATGAGGCTCGTTCAGCCCGGTTTCGATGGCTGAACAGCAGTGAAAGATGAATGTGCGAGTTGAAGAGAGTGTGATTGATCAGGTCTGCTAAGAAGCAGTTTCGGGTGGTAGGTGATCGCGAGGCGACAGTAGGTAGATTCGTGTAGCGTCGTCGGATGGATATGCGGTCCAAGTAACCTTTCAACATGGCCCAAGGTGATCCCCCCAAATATGGACGGTAGATCCTGTCTATTACCGGACGCCGAGAGGGGGCCGTGGTCCCAGGCTTATCTGGCTACTGTGCGCAGAGTTTTCGGAATCTAATTGAGCGCTACCACTGGACTCATTGCTAGCGGAGGCGGAACCGGTCAGACTGCGAACTTGAGGACGTGACTTGGGCGGGTAAAGAGTGCTCACCCCAGCGTGTTGTTCAACTTGTTGTGGTGCCACCATGTTCCCCATGCCTTGAGGATGTCGCGGCATTGGCTGCCTCATACCCGGAGGGGAGGGGCGTCCATTGGGCGGCATACCATTTGGCGGCATACCGTTCGGCGCGTAGCCGTTGGGAGGAGATGGCCGGCCCATTGGCCTGGGACCAGGGCTGAGTGGGTTGCCGGGAGACTGGCTTGTCCGTCGACTGTTGGGAGGATAAGGACCGTAGCTTCCACCCATCTCATCTAAGCGGGCTGTTGTTAGTGAATTGGTTCTTGATTGCGCGCCCATGGCGCCGCGGTCAACGTCTCCGTAGCGATTAGATGAATAGCCCATGAGAGGGTTATTCATTATACTGTCGTGTAGACCCGGAATCGAAGTTATACCGCTGTTGCGGTTCTTGTTCATGCCGGGACGGGCGAACGGATTCCTTGAGCGTCCGTTGCCGTGCTGAGGAGCAAAGCCACCTTCAGGGTTCTTCCGAATCTGACTAGCGCTTGGTGCCTTGCGGTTGCGACGTGATGTGACACTCATCATATCGAAGTTATCAGTGTCGATTTGTGACCCTGGGGCACGGCCACCCATCGGGTCAAAGTAGTCGTCTTCATCATCGTCGTCATCGTAGCCACCCATTGAAGGAGGTGGCTGGGGTCGGCCACGTCCCATTCCTGGACCCATTCCTGGGCCCATGCCGGGACCTGGGCCCGCGGCGCATGTTGAGCTCCTGCTCTCGAAGCTGAAGCTCGCGTTGCCTCAGCATGAGCTCGCGTTCGCGAATTGAGAGGTTGGTAGATGAGTTGCCAGCGCTTTCGTAAGGGCCGGCCCCAGGACCTCCGCCCTCCAACATGTCATCGTAGAGCATCAGATGCGAGAACTCCTCGAGGTTGTTGCTGTCTTCGAACGAGGGTCTCCGTGGACCCATGCCCCTGCCGTTCATCTGTGGGGGGTATCCGTTCGGGCCTGGGGGAGGCCCACGGCGCATGGGGGGAGCTCCATTGATGGAAGGAGCCCGACTGCCGGGACGTGGACCACCCTTCATTGGACCGTTGCCGTTCATCATTGGCCCATTGCCGTTCATCATGGGTCCTCCAGGACCAGGCGGTCCCCGTGGCAACGGGGCTGATGATAGCCTTGGAGGTGGCGGACCCTGCATTCCATTGGTAGGAAGAGCCGCAGGAGCCGCAGCAGGCTTGTTGCGGTTGGCAATGTTGATGTGATGGAGAATAGCGTAGAGACTCTCAATGCGAGGAACAGGGACACCAGATTCCTGAGCGAGCTTCAATGGAGAGCCCAGGTAAGTTTCAATCTCCATGGGACGCTTGGCCTCAAAGTCGAGCCACATGGTGCTGTTGTTCTCCTGTGGCTGCATCATCTTCTGGAAGGTTGTTTCCCGAAAGTCGGCAGGGAAAATGCAATCCTGCGCTTTGGCAAGCGCAAGTAACTCGTCCAGCACGCCGTTGATGAGCGCGCGGACGCCGACCTTCTCAAGGAGCTCGGCGTGGTTTGGCTGTTCAAAGAGAATACTGGCTGGATGGAAAGAAATTGGACTGCAGCATGTTAGATGATGTAGAGAAGAAGGATCAAGCAGACAACATACCCTATCATGCGCTCGTA